CCCTCCCCACATCCTTGAGCTCTGGGTCAGAACATTTTATTACTAGGTGGGGGTTAATCATGTTTTAAATTAAGCACTACATGTTGAGAACAGTGGGTTGTGATTCCTTTCTGTACATTTTCTTGTCTGTAAATATTATTACTGACTGTGCATAATGTGTTGACACAAAAACATCTACAAGTCTCTACTAGGAGCTGTACAGTCCAACCCCCGTCCCCTGACATCAGTTGAGGCTGAGGCAGCTGTAGCGCAAGTAGAAGAGTTTTTGACAATTTTGTATTAATGCAAAAGTGTGGGGATTTGTTGATTTTGCATAAATTTCCACGATAATTCTCAAGAAACTGGAGGGACTGATTTTATAATTTGGCAGCAATGGATAAAAACTGCATTGATTTGATTGATAACATAATATTTAAGCATACTTAGAGTTTAGTCTAGAATATAGAGTGCTACATAAAAAGCTAAAGCAGGTTAGATTTGGCCCACAGGTGCTTTAGGATACTACATTATGTGCTCTAATACACTCTGCTCTTTTTTTTGCTTCACAGTGAGAAAAATATTCCATAATGCCTCATTTTGACAGTAAATGTTTTAATATTATTGAAAATGTTATGTGTAAAGCAGTTATTGTCTCATTCTTTAGCAAAGACGTAGATGAAAATCAATGTGTGATAAAAACACAGATGGTAAGTATTTTTATTCCTAATAAATTCAATGAAGTACACAGCTACTCGGAAGGTCTGATACATTGATTTGTCAAACTGAGAAATAACGGTTCACAAAATATTCTTCAAACTATCAAGTTTTCATCAGCTCAAATCATTCCTGCTTTTATATAAGACCAGCTGACATTCCTTGTAAATTGTGATATTGGACGAATAAAACAATATAAAACAGCCATTTACATTCTGCAACTCTTAGTCATTCCCCTGGAGTTTAGAGAGGTTTTCAGAAAATTATGCAGATGGATATTAATGCAAAGATGAACACCTTCTGCAGACAGTGAGAACTTGATTACTCCTCATCCTCTGCATCACAATGAAGAGGAGGAGGAAGGTGACGTGACACCTCCTCTGGGCGGTGTCCAGCCTCCTGCCTCATCTTCAGCTCCATCATAGCCGTCTGAACCAACTGCAGTTGGGTCTCTCTGAGTGAACGCCTCAATTTTGCTCGTCGGTTCTGGAACCAGATCTGATAAGAAATGATAATCTTGTACTTCGTCTTTAGCCTCACTTTTTATTATCGCACACTTTTAGTTCTTGTGTCTTTAAGTGGCAACATGTGCTTAAAGGCATCTATTTGGCTATTTTTAAGTCTCCATGCATCTACAAACTTCTAGACCTTTGTCTTTTTAACAGCTATCATTTTTAAGGAAACTGTTTGAACCTGGATTCGGTCCTCGTCCAGGTCCAGCCTCCCTGCCAGCTGCTCCCTCAGCTGGATCCCTGGATAGCAGTCGACCCGGAACACCATCTCCAGAGCATTCACCTGATTGAGCAGAATCAAAGCTAAGTTTGTAAAAAAAAAAAAAAAAAAAAAAAAAAAAAGCTGCTGTATGAGATCCTAAGTTCCAGGTTAAATGGAAGACAGAACACCTGGCTGCTGCTGAAGGCTGTGCGTGCCCGTCGTCCAGCATACCAGCTTAGTTTGGGTCCAGTTTGGTTTTGCAGCGGAGCTTGATAACAAATGTTTTGCTTACAGCAGAAACTTTTCTCTCTCTTCCCCATCTCTGCTCCAAATTCTGAGGAGATTTTTAAAAGATAATTTAATAAATAAATGGAAAATTAAATAACTGGACATGCATCCATGAAAATTATTTCATCCCAATGTGTACTCTGACCAGCCTAGAAGAAAGGATCCTCACAGCATGATGCTGCCACCACCCTAAACTTGTTTCACTTTGGGAAGGTTACCTGATTGGTGGTAAGTTATTATCCATATAAAGAGTTTCATTTCTATTTCAATCTAATCCAACTAAAAAAACTTCTTCCAAGCTCCCCAACAAACCTCTCAGACATTTTACAGAGTTTCTACACAAGATTGATAGTGAAAATATGGATATGAAATTCTACATTTTCCAGACTCAGATATTAAGAATCTTCAGTTATAAATTTCTCTTTGAATTTATGGTGGATATTTCTAGAGTGATAATGCTTTGTACCTATAACCTGGTAATGCAAAAGAAAGTAGGCATGTTGATGGATGAATGGATTAATGGCAAATAAATTGGAAACATTTTTAAAATAGTGGCAAAGTCTAGCAACATATTTTTAAAATTTGATTTGACTTTCAGATTGAAAAGAACAATTTTTAACAGTAAAAAATTTATTTATCTTCCACTTTCATAAGAAATCACAATAAAATAAATCGTTTTGTGGACCTGTTTCAAAGAAAAATCTTTTAATAAGGATTGTTATTATTTAACAGGTCAATCTGTAAACCAAAGAATAAAAAAAATTGGCAAAGTAAAATAAAGAGATGAAAATACATTATGTCTATTCCAGCCTCATCAAACAAATCAACATAAATGTGTGTCATATTAAGTAATAAAGTTAGGGTAAAAGTAAAGAAATGATTGTACAGCTTGATCAAACTTTCAAACAGGTGTGACTGTTCAAGCAGAAAACAGAGCATATTAGTCCTGAGGGTGAGTCAAAAAGCAAAACTCCTCACCTGTCCAGGGTCGGTGTAATTTCAGACTCTTCCCAGGGTTTTCCTGATCCAAACCCAGAATCCGATCGATATAAAATGCTGAGTGGCGTTCTTCCTTCAAGGGAGTCACAGTGCATTCCATTATGTCTGAACTGAGGAGTTACTTTAACTTCACTGACATGTAAATAGTCCTGAACAGTCAGAAATGTATCATTAATGACCTCAGTGTCTGTGGAAATCCTTTACACTGCCTTGGAGGTCCATGGAAAACTAACAGGAAAGGCTGAAGCTGAGCACTGGTTTTAATGGGAATAAAGGATTTAAACTGGCCCCCAATTAGAAGTAAGAAGTGTTTTTCCACGTGAATAAGATTCCTTGATGCTCCATACATCAGTTAATCTCAGCTAATACAATATGTGCTGCTGGCAATTTGACTCTGACATTCAACTTTTCTTAATTAATATAAATGAAATAAACAAGTCAGATTTAATGTGTTTCTCTGTTTCACACGAGCAAATAGATGTTTATATAAAACCGTCACCATGACATGAACACAATGCAACACGGCATTCCTTTTCTTCTAAATTACCAAAGTAGAAAATTAGTTTAATTTTGAACTGCCGTTATAGGACTGAGGCAGAGTTTAAGCTAATAATAATGACAATGATGGCAGGAATAACAACCCGGTGAGACCCAGTAATGCTATTAGCCTGATCTGAATGTGTTGTGATGCAGATGAAGCTCTTAGAGTGTGAATGCAGCCTGAAGCAGCTGAGAGGAAAAACCTTTTCAGAACTGGATTAGCTCCCATTAAAGGCCTATGGCAGCTTTAAGCCAACAACACACTTCTTTATTTATTTATCCTTCAGTGGGAGGTGGCGGGCTCTGGGTCAATTTGTACTCCCATTTCATCCTCACATGATGCCATTTTCTCCTTTCCTACTTTTGATTTATAGCTGTCAACACACTATTTAGGTGCATTGGTTGACATGTTGGTTGAACATGTTGCTCCTTATTTCTATTTATTTTGGTTTTTATCACCATTTGAGTCTGTTGACTCTCATAGAATATGACAAATGATGGTGGGTGTTGGTCATTTTAGTTCCGTTTCATACCTTTGTTTGTTTTTGGAAATGAAATGGTATATTTTGTGTCAATTCATATCTGCTAAAGAACCATTGTGTTTCTACTTTAACAATCAGCAATATACTAGTGTTCTACCTAGTCTATGTTGTATTCTGTGTTTTCTGTGTAGTTATTTTTGAGGTTTTCTGTGTTTAGTCCTGTTCCTGTCACGTCTTCCGTGTTGATTGCTTCCCAGGTGTGTCTCATTCCCTGATTACCCTCCCTGTGTATTTAACTTGTTGTCTTTTGTCACGTCCTTGTCAAACATAGCACGTCAGTTGTCTTCGTCTGGCTTACCTGTCTGTTCCTTGTGCTTGAGTTCTGTGGAGTCATCAATAAATTCTTCATACAATGTCTGCCTGGGCCTCTCATATACAAGTGTCATTCTCACCGCCAACCATATCACATTATGACAGTCTACTTTTAACTGACTGGGATTCAAACTCACAACTTTCTGGCTGCGATGCAACAGTGCCACTAACTGCAACGCCACATAGCAACAATAACATTTTCACTGATTATTTCAGGGGGTTTTTTAATTTCTGTTTTCACCCTGATGTTTGATACCCTTACTGTGCTATATGCTCTAGTTTTAAGAACTACCATCCTGCAACTTTTGCATGGGCCTCATCTAAAACACAAACACACCTGGATAAATGTGGGAATATTCTGTCATTTAGTTCAACACTGTCATTGAGTTGTGTTGAACAAATACACAAATGTTGAAGGACAATAGCTCTGGAAGGCTAGAACAGACAACTCAGCCCTGTACTCTCTCTGTTCCCCTCTGTCGCATTATAATTGCTGCTTCAGTGTACTTCCTGAACTAGTTTGACCTACTGTGCCATCAGTTTAATGATAACTCTAGAATTGGGAAAAAGTCTAATTTTCCTCCTGCTGTAGAGCAAATCTTTCTCTGACATTGCAATGGGATTCAATTGTTCTGTTTGCCTAATCTGTCAGGACTGGACACTCGAGAAATATTTGTGATAATTATCAGTAACGGAGTGTACCCATAACTAAATGTAGTCTAACCTTGATAGAACATATCAAAACTATATTTTCTGACCTCTCTTTAATCTTTAAGAGGTTTTGTGAAGCAGAAAGATGCCATCTTGTTTCTCAAAGGTTCCTCAAATGATTTTAAACTAAAACTTCTGTAAGCAGTGAAACTCTGGTGAACCTGAATCTGTCTACGCTCCATCAGGCTGCCTGTTGTCTGTCCTTGTTTCCTGTTTTCTCTGAGAACAAAGAGCCAACAGACAATGTGGAAAACGAGCAGCGTGCCTGGTGACACTGCAGCGGGATGGAGGGGGGGACTTCAAATGCCTTTCAGTCAGAGATGTACCATCCTGTCTGCTGCCTGTAGGCCACCTCACAGCCACACTGTTGTTTGCATTCAACCAATCACTGTGTCCCCTCTGACTGGTTTAGGGAGCCGCTCACATTTTCAGTCACTCTGGACGGTGGTGTTCCTTTTCCAGAGGGTCTGATGTCTTCTTGACACCTGAGGCCATCATGGACTGGAGTGTTGGGACTGTGGAGATGCTGGGGGTTCTGTTGTCAGCAGGGGGCTGGCTTTGCTCTCTGTGCACAACTATGATGCCGTTCTGGCTGACGCTCTCCACAGACCTGCTCCCCACTGAGAGTTTGGAGGTGGGACTGTGGAAGACCTGCGTTATCCAGGACTTGGGTCTGCAGGAATGTCGACCATACAACAGCCTGCTGGGTCTGCCGCCAGACATCAAGCTGGCCCGGATTCTGATGTGTACTGCTCTGGGTTTTGGGCTCATGGGCTCGGTGCTAGCCGTCCTGGGCCTGAACTTGATCAACAGCTGCTGTCGGAAGGTGGATGACCGAAGCTTTAAGAAGGTCCTGAAGACAGCAGGTGGGACGCTAAGCCTGGCAGCTGGAATACTGGTCCTGATCCCAGTCTCCTATATAGCTCACCTGACTGTGGTGCGGTTCTTTGACGAGTCGGTGCCGGATGTGGTGCCTCGCTGGGAGTTCGGTGATTCTCTGTTCTGTGGCTGGACAGCTGCAGTTCTGCATCTGGTGGCAGGAATGCTGCTGCTGATTTCTTCTTTGTATCTGCAGGAACAGAACCGGAATCTACCCGTCCACATCCCTCTTTTCCCAGTGTCCCAGACACAACGGTCAGTCAGAATCAGTACTGAGTACATCTAGAGCACCAACCAGGAGAAAGTATCCGCTTTCACATTGTTGGAAATCTGACTTGATATGATGGTTTGAACAGTTATTTAAGGAAAATTTCCAAGATTCTTTCCATGTCTATGGAGATGTCTGTAGTTTGTTGGAGCCAAAGAAACAAAAAGCTGCTATTTCCTGTTACCTCTCATTTAACAACCTTCAGCACTCTATCTCTATCTGTCTACCTGGACAGCTTAAGCAAGACACAAGGATGCTTTCAGCTTCATTTTGATCTCGGAAAACATTAGTGACTGCAGATCAGTACTGGGAACTTTGAAGAGGGGGCATGACTGAAAAGAATACATTCATAGAAGTGAAAAATCACTATATAGATCAGCCTAGTTAACAGCAGGCATTACTACTTAGTATTAATGTATATATAACCCATGCATGTTTGTACAGTGTAATGTAATTGTTACACCACCAGAGGGCTATAAGTTACCATCAATAGAGTCCAGTTCCTTCATAGTTACAGATAATCTTTCTTACCTTCCAGTCTAACTAATAATTTTGCTTAGAATGGGTTTATTTATGTTTATTTAGGTATGTTATGTTCTGAAGTCAAAGTTAAATGTTTAATTGTCACCAGATTAAAGATGACAAACAGTACTGTGTGTGTTTCTGGTTCAATGTTGTCCAGTCTTGAAGACAAATATTTACAAGTTTAATTACATATGTGTAAAAGTAATCTTACAAAACTGAACACAGAGCACTCTGCCTTTGCCCCTCAGAATTGGGACATCAGGTGTCGCTCTTTGTGAATTTCTGCCTTTCATGTCAAAAGCAAATTAATTTAATTGAACTGACATCACTTAACTAGCCTGACATCCTCAATACCTCACAGAGTAATTCTAGGTTTAACACATGTGATTAAGCAGAAGCTGCTTGGAAACAGTTCTAACAAAATAACAGAAACTTTATTGAATAAATCTAAAGAATAATCAGATTTTTTCAAAGCTGTTCTTGACTTTCTTCCTGGCCACCTTCTTCCTGTTTCATTTCTTTCACTTTCACCCTGTTGTGGATCCGTTTACATTCTTGAAGTAAACTTCTGCCTAATGGTAATGGAACCATTTTTTTTTATTAATTAATTTATTAAAATAACCTGCCTACATCTTAGTTGGTGCAGGAACAGCAGAAATCGCCAGGTCCTGCCATCCAGACACTCTAAGCTGGAACTGCAAAGTTGAACCTGTCCAATGGTGAATCAGGTCATCCGTGTTGTTTCTTTGTTAGAAGAGTCTAGTTAGTTGAACACAGTGGTGGTTTGATACAACTGCACGTACAGATTATTTAAAACACATTATCAAGGCATACCTTCAGCAACTTCTTACAATAGTTAAACCTTAACCCTAGTTTGTATACCTAAATGACTTTCCTGTGCAGATGAAGGTGGAAAATACATGCAAGGTGATGTGTATGTGTGATGGAGACCAGGGGTTCCATCCCATGTTGATTATTGATATTATGTTGTTTTCAGTTCAAATGTGTTTTGTATCAGTTCTTTATTTCAGTTACATGGTGACATTTGGTGAACATTCTTTTTGGGTAGGGAGACTGGCCATCTTTCCTGTTCAGAGAATGTGGGGGAAAATGTCAGTTTGTTTTGATTTAGATTAGTTCAATTTGAGTTAATTGAGTATTTGCCTTTCTGGGTGTGTCTCAGCAAGGTGGAGCAGAGAGGGAGACGAATGCTCCTGGAGCATACCAGCTTCCATTAGGAGGGGGAATACTCTGAGGATTTATATTTAGTTATATTTACTTTTGATTGACTTTAGGTTAGTTTAATTTTAATAATGTGCATGCATGTAAATATTTGTTGGATCATTTATTTGTTAGTTTTGTATAAGTAGTGTTTGTGTGTCTTTTCTTTTGATCACCCCTTTACCTGGTGTCAGTGTTGGAACTTGCCTCAGGTATAAATGTCAGCTTCTTTGTTTCACTAAAAAAAAAGAGGGTGTTGGTGTAATGAAGACTTGGAGCTCCCAAATAAATCCACCTCAAAGACATTTGTTGCCTCACTTCCTTCTTTAACGCAGAGCCTCCGCTGGTCAAAGTGACAG